CAACAACACACACACACACACACACACACACACACACACACACACACACACACACACACACACACACACACACACACACACACACACACACACATGTTGAATAAATTCAATTTTTTAATAATAATCTTTTTTATACAATCATCACTTTCATTTGTTGTAAAGTCCTGTATTTAATTGATTTTTTATTATTTATTATTTAAGGCAAAATTATTTTAAAGTTTGGTGTATATGAAATATTCCTAATTATAATTATCTATCTATATATACAATTTATCAAATCTACCATTTTCTTCCAAGCCAGTTTTCGGAATATTTTTTTCTATTTTTACGATCTTTCTTTCTATGTCATCTAATTTCCTTAGACGGAGTTTTTGACCGGATGAGATCCCATGTTATTAATGAAGCGTTTGTTTTTGTACATAAATCCATGATGAGCGCAGTATTTCTTACATCGCGCATCGCTCCTAAGCAAGTTCCTGTAGCCATATTATAGATAGGTGTATCATTCTATAATAAAATATTTAAAACTTTTAGTAATTTTTGATAACTATTTACTTAAAATAATGAGATAATATTTTTGATAATATTTCTAATATTTATTGCAAAAAATATTTAATGAACATCTCTCGTAACACAAAAGTGTTTGTTTTTTATTTCTGAACTTTCTGAGCTAGTGCAAGGAGTATACACTGGATCTATTCTTTTTAACTAAACTGGCTGCACTAGTTCAGAGTTTATCTTTCTTCTTCCAGTGTAAGAAAAAGTTTGTTTTTTATTCTCGCACTAGGGCTATACTACTGAATTGAACTGAACTTGTGCAAGCCAGAACTGATGAGTGTAAGCGTGCAGCTGAGGAATAGAAAACAATTTAGTGCAACAAAGAAATGGCGTCCCATATTATCTGTATGGAAATATTAAATTTGTCTTCTGAAGACGAATGAAGACAAATTATTTATTAAAAATTATTTATTAACTACTTATTCAATAAAGCATGACTTTTATGTTACTTTATGCTATACAGAGTGTCCCAAAACTCCCGCATTTGTACACTACGTGAGTCTCTATGCTAAAAAAAAACAACTTTTTCCTTTAGCAAAATTGTGTGCGACCAGTAGTTTTTACAGTGGATCAGATTAAAAGTGAATGAGCGCGCGTATGTACGTAAGCGGTCAGGGCCGGCGAGCGTTCCTCAGGCCAATGCAGCCTACTTAATCTTTGATGACTACATTGTTTAAAATATGATAAAAGTTAACAAAATAAATATTGTTTTCATCCTTTACGTAACAATTCAATAAAAAAATTATCTGATTTCGTAACATCTGGAAATAAAAATAAATGTAAATAATATGATATATAAACTGAGCATTCTATTATTTTAATTACTGCGCAATTGTATATGACAATAAAAAAAATACTGAATTTAATAAATACTTATTAATTACGTGAGTACGTAATAACGAGTCAAAAAATTAGTTTTTTCATAATAATGTTTAAAGATAAAATATTTAAACTTATCATTTAAGATATTTCGAAAGAGGTTTGGTTCTCTCCTCATTTTCTCAGAAAAAATTAACAAAAGATTTATACAAAATTATTTATCTTTATAACATTACAATAATTACATAATCTCATAAAATTTCAATAATGGTTGCACATATTTAGTAAATGTGTAAAATTATTTCTAATATCTTGTATCAGTAAGAGTTAAAAAAATTATAAAAGATTACAATTATTTAAATAAAGAAGTATGAAAAATTATATTTATTAAAATAAATAATATTGATAATTATGATCTAGACGTTATGTAAATAATTGTTTTAAAAATATGTCAAAAATATTACAAAAATATTTTAAATATTTTAAAATAACCGTATTTAAAGTATTATACACATTGCGTATATGCTCTGCAAGAAATTTTTCTTTATAATAAAAAATAATTTGATTAAATTATTTATAATTGTTAAAAAGTTGAGGTCACGTGGTGCAATAAGGAGAGTTAACACACATCAGTGAATAGAGCCACAAAAATCAGGAGAAAAAGAAGTCTACGGGAACAGAGGAGAAAGACTAAGGCAGGAGGTCCAAGAGAAGGGTGCAACAACCTAAGGCAAATAAGAGAGAGAAGAAAGGGCGGAAGATTTGAAAGTTATCAAACAGAGACCAAAATCGCAAAGAAGAGAGGTTATGTCAGCGAACATAGGACGTGGCAGATAAGGTGATTATAGATCGATTAATCGATAAGATAGAAAAGGAAAAGATAATTAAAAAACGGTAAAGAGGACAACAGATTGACCGACCGTAAGTCGGTAAGGTACCGTCACCGAGGCAAGCGGAGCTGATGAAGAAGGCAGCAGAGGGGGAAGAGAGAGACAGAGAAGGCAAAAGAAGAGGAAGACCGACACGAGCGGAACAACTGGGAAGACAGAGAGCGGGAAGCGTAGGCACAATTACAGACTCATTTAAAAGAAAGAGGGAAGAAGAGGAACGGGAGGAAGAGAAATTAAGGGCGGAAAAAGAAATTATTGAAAATTTTCTGAAGGCGAGAAAAGTTGAGAGATCCCCAAAACAAGGAAAAGGGAAAAGAGAGGATAAACAACAAGAGGAAAGTAAAGAAGAAGACAGTATGAATAAGGAAGCAGAAAGAATGGATAAGATGATGGAAATCCTGTTGACAGTAAAAGGACACGGAAGAGATAAAAAAGAATTAAGACGAGAAATGAAAGAATTAAGAGAGGAATGGAGGAAAAAGCAAGAAGAATGGGAAAAGATGAAACTAAATTTCGAAATGAGAATAAGGGAATTGGAATCAGAAAAGGAGCAAAACGAAGAGATAAAGGAAAAAATAAGAGAGGTGATACGGAAGGAGGACGCGAGGGAAAGAGAGAGAAGAGAAACAACATAGTAATAAAGGGAGCGGATATACCAATGAGGGAAACACCGAGAGAAACCGTAAAGGAAATTGTAAAACAAAATTTGCAAATAGAGGCACTGATAGAGGATGCATATTGGGTGAGAGGAAGAAAAGGAGGGAATTTCTTGGTAGCTAAATTCAGAGAGGAGCAGCAGAAAAGGGAGGTTATGATGAAGAAAAACAAATTAAGAGGCAAGAGAATATTTATCGATAACGATTTAACGAAAAGAGAGAGAGATATTCAGAGAGAAATTGCGCAAGCAGCTAGAGCAGAAAGAGATCAGGGTGCACAGGTCAAAATCGGGTACAAGAAACTGAAAGTAAATGAGAAGATATTCAAATGGAAAGAAGAAGGAAAGTTCGAGGAGGTAAAATTTTGGAGCAGGAGAACCTCTGCGGACCTCGCGAATTAGCGAAGAGGCCCGGAGAGATGGGAGGGAAGCAGAAAAAAGTGAAAATCCGCCCTCTCTCGAAGTCTGCGAAAGCAGACGCGAGAAGAGAGGCGGGTCAATCAGGAGAAAAGGATGGACGAAAAGAAGAAGAAATGGAGGAAGAAAACTTTCTTAAGATGTGTTTTTGGAATGTTGCAGGTTTATACAATAAGGACAGACAATTCTGGAAATACATAGAGAGATTTGACTTTGTAGGATTAACAGAAACATGGGTTGACGAAACACAATGGGACAAAATAGAAGGGATACTACCAGATACATTTATATGGAGATGTCAACTTGCGACAAAAGAGAAGAACAAAGGAAGGGCGAGCGGAGGAATAATAACGGGAGTCAGAAAAGGTTTAAAGGAGGAAGAGTTGAAAGAAGATGAAAGGGGTATACAAATAAGGAAAATTTGGCTAAACAACAAAACGCTAAAAATTTTGACGTTATATAGTAGAGAGATGAAGAAAACAAGAGACAACTTGGAAAAACTGACTGGAAGTGCAAAGGAGGAGAGATTGATAGTGGGAGGGGACTTCAACGCAAGGACGGGAACAGAAGGATCGTTCTGTGGCGAAGAAAAAGAGGAGAGAATTTGGAGAAAATCCAGAGATAAATTGAGAAATAACGAAGGGATAAAGCTATTAGAGATGATAGAAGAGAATGGATGGGAAATTTTGAATGGAAACATGGAAGGAGACGAAGAAGGCGATTACACTTTCATCGGTGGAAAGGGAAGCTCAGTAATAGATTATGTTATAGTAGATTCGGAGATAAAGGACGAAGTGAAGAGCTTCAAAATTGGGACAAGGACAGAATCGGACCATTTTCCGATGGAAGTAGAAGTCTACGGAGAAAGAAAGGTGAAAGAGCAGGAAAGAAGAAAAGAGGAACAATGGAAAGAGAAAAACAT